CGTTAGAACATGAATGGGATAATTTATCTTTATCTTCAGCAGCTTTATGATCTCTGTCGCCTTCCGTTGAGTGGGCAAGCAGTTCATTCACCTGCAAAAACACTAGCTAGGTTTTTTAACGATTCGAAATGTTATAATATTTTTTTGTTAAAAAAAAGTGTATTTGTTTAATATAAAGTTATAATGAATAATAAGCATAGTAATAAGACGTTACTCATTGACGCTAGCAGCAGAGTGTGAGGGTGTCACTGCCAGCACTAATTAGCAGTTAGTTTCTTTAAAAATGGCGCTAGCTATCGAGCTTCTTCAATGGCTAGCTAGCTAACGTGTTAGCAAACAACTGCTTAGCTTCTTAAATTCGTCATTGATATTTTGGAGACAGTGAGCGACATGGACGGGCCTCCGACTTCAGTCCTCTTACTCCTGACATGCCGAATGTAAGTGTGATTTAAATACAAAGGTTTTTTCTACATTACATACAATGCTTCTTAGCAAGCTAACGTCAAACGTTTTTCCACCACCAAGTGTAGTTAACGTTAGCTCTTTGATTAGTCAATAGCTAGCTCATTTTCTACTGCTTTGTAATACTTTAGGCTGCAGAACAGCATTTGTTCACCCTAACAATACCATTCCCACCCCCATACTGCTCCAGATGAACCAGCTCCCTGGGTTTATCACAGGAAAGAAAAATGTAAAGCCTAATTAATTATGAACATTGACCCAATTTTGCATGTTATTCTTTTTTTTTAATGATTTACTATTAAGCAGACCAAGGTCCCGTTTTAAATCCTATATTACAACTCCATCATTTTGCTCAGTAACTATTTGCAGGAAGTCAAGTAGACTAATGATCCAACATGGATAACACACACAACAAATCATGCATTTGAAATGAATGCTGCTCAGACAAAACCCCAGCAAACTTTCATCTTTGAAAAGTGTTGTATTAACATATCAAATCATGCTTTTTAATACATTGGGTTAATTACTGGTGATGTTATATAAATAACATGTTAATTGGGGTTTTTCAACTATGACCAAGTTAATTAAAATAAACAATGTACAACGTTTTAATCTTATTCAAGTTGCACCTGCCTAGTCTTCATGGGTCATTCATTACCAATCATTTGTTTGAAAGAATACTATGAATCTCCGCCATATAAATATATTTATTTAAAACTGCCTGATTTCCTTCTGTAATGTTATTTTGTTCACAGCAACATATCCTTAATATATTGAGGCATACTCTGTTTGTGAGACACAAGTTTGTGCACAGTCACTGTGATTGTCGATAAAGTCAGTGTGAATGAGTGATACCAAGGATGCTCAACTTTTGCCTACAGGGTAATTTCAGTTTTGTTATCTGGCTTAACATGTCAAAAACCTTTGACCACGTTACCCTCTTAAAAGTGCTCCTTTGTCACAACTAAAGTACAACTAAAGATTGTATGTGTTTGAGCCTTCAGGGATAGGCCAGTCCATTTCTCCTCTGAGATTTAACTATGGGTATTTTAATATTTAAATGTTTAAAAAGTTTTCCTTTACATGAAGGTCTGGCACACGTCCTTCAGGATGTTCCTCCCCGGTAATGGGTAATGGATGTGTCTTCCTTGCTAAATTAATGTTATCTTTAAAAAGAAACAAGCAACCGTCATGCCATCTAGACCAGTGGTTCTCAACTGGTGGGTCGCGACCCAAAAGTGGGTCGCGGACCCGTTTCAAGTGGGTCGCGGATGTGTGAGTGAAGAAAAAAAAGTTGAAAAAAAAAATTCAATTTTTTTTTTTTTTTTTTTTGGGAAAAAATGCAAACTTTTATTTTGAAGGACCGATTTTCTAACGCTGTGCATGCAGTAGGCGTTGGACTGGAAGTACCGGAGACCATAAATGGTTTTGAAAACTTCTGTCACGTAGTGATCATCTTCTCAATAAAACATCCCTGCTGATGTTTTTTCGAGTCTTCTGGCCAATCAGAATCAAGATTGTTGCCGGAAGTCCCCACGGAGAATAACTGCGGTAGAACTATTCTTTATACATCCATGGGTACAACTTCAGATACAAATGAACACATAATGAAATATGACCCCCGGTTTGATGATTGACAGGTCACAGAACAATGGGAGCTATCTACCCTTACCCACAATTTAAAGTAAGTCACACAGACTCTCTCCTCTTTACTCTTCTCTCAGCAAGCTGTCAGAACTAAATGAAAAACAAACAATGGCATAAAATATTATTAATATGTCGGGTAGTAATAGATTTATTTATTTTCTTCTCAGAGTGTACCAGAATGCGTAGTTTATGTTAGTATTTCTAAAAATCTCCTGGGGGAGAATCCCCCCAGACCCCCCTGCTGGGGTTGGGTTTTCAGCATGTGTGCCTTTTTATATAGTTCAGCTTTGATTCCATCATCTCATTAAACCTTGTTTAAAAGCATACTTTAGTTCTGTGAAGGGATATATGCACTGTACTTCACTTTTATTAATATTGTATTCTGAAAAGCGTATATATTACAGCACGATTTTTTGTTGAATAGGTTTGAGTGCTTCAAAATGTTGGGTCGCGATGTATTGACCAAGTAAAAAGTGGGTCCTGAGGCCTGACCAGTTGAGAACCACTGATCTAGACCATAAAACTCATTTCCCCAGTTCCCAAAATGATGTAAATAGAATTGAATGAATTTGGCAAACATTTTCCAAATGGTTTTATTATGACGCTACCTAATCTTTATTGGACACAGACAGACTATATAAGATAACGGCTACAGTTCTTCTAAATGATTCACTTTTTTCCCCCCTCATTGACTTTCCTCACTTCCTTTCCTTGCTAGCAGATAACTGTCCTAGACCGTAAATACTGATATTATTACCATTGTGTATTAAATGTTTTTACTTTACTTGATTGGTATTTGTGAAGTGATATAACTTGCTGTGCAGGGTTTCCCAAGCGTTTGTGGATTATTCAGGTAGGTTTCTGTGAAGCGTGTGTCAACGCTTGTTTGCTTTTACCTGGAGCTAAAACACAAATAAAGTATTTATTTTACATTATTTTCCAAGTTACACAAGCACATCCCGTGCCTGGTTAAACCAGTGCCACTTTGCAGATTTAAAACCCTATTATTTCCATTATTATATTATGATAACGTTTTAGCCAAATTATTGATTTTAAGCTTAAATTACTTGCAAAACATTTGAAAAAGCCATTAAACTCACATCAGACACAACCTATTTAATGATTAAAGATTTGGATTCTAGACATTTCTTTCACTTTAACGTCAGTATTTGTTTTTTTCAAGAGTTATTCGACATATATACCAGATAAAACAATAGTTAAAATGTTTGCAGGATTACAGATTAAGATTATAAAAAGCCACTTGATTACTGAATTATAATAGGAAAATGTCATCAAAGAATTATGAATATTCTTATTTTATTTTGATAAACCAGATCTGTTATAAAGCCTACTAACAATGTTCACAGATATCTATTAAAACAATCAGTATAGAGTTACAGTTAAAGGGCAGTGTATGTTTTCAGATTCATTTCACATTATATAATGAACATTTTTGTGTCCAATCTTTTCTTGTAGATCTTCATTCACGCGGTTTCATATTTCCAACAGCACGTGAAGGCAGCATCAAAACCAGTTGTTCCCGTTCTGCTTTTTTTTTTTCGGGTTTTACAACCAGGACTTCACCTTGTACCTACTAACAAAACTCACCTGTTACATAACACATACAATTTCACTTGACAGTTTGTCACACACGCCTTGCATTTGCACAATTATGTGTTTAAACTCTGACCGGGGTTAAGACGTGTCCTTCCAGAGAAAGGCCACTAAGAGGCGCTGCAGATCCGCATATCCAACATCGATACAAACTCTCTCAACGCTGGGTTTATCACAGGAAAGAACAATTTACACCTTCCTTTATTATGAACATTGACATTATTTGGCATTTTAATTATGAACTTTTTAGTAAGCTTCGTTCCAGTATTAAATCCTATATTAAAAATCCATCCTTTTGTTCTGTAGTTTTATACAGTTTCCTCCATGATCCAACTCAAAACATACTCAACAAATCATGCAGTTGAAATAATAATAATAAGGGCAGCTCCGAAAAAACAAAGAAAATTCTCCTCAAGGTTTTTGAGGATGTGTACCTATATCAAATCGTTAACTTAAATCATCTTAAATGTTCTGCTGTATGATAACATCCCAGTTTTCTTTTCTCAATCATACCTGTGCGTCTCAGCCTCCCATTGATCTGGATTGGGCTGCAAAACAACTAAACTAAAAAAGTGACAGCTGTTTTGTAAGTCAAGAGCCTGAGGCAATAACCTATAAATACATTTAAACTTAATGTAATGCACGTTATATCGATATAACCCTGCATTTGATATACATTACATGGCAATGGTTGTAGTTGTATCTCCCACCGAGGAAGATGTGCACCAAAGCTTGGACAACACTTTTTGTTTTGTTTTACCTTTTCTTTTCCATAGAGCTTTGAATGCTTGGTCAACATGCATACTGTACAGATTATAACCCCAGTAGCTCGCAATCTTCACTTCTTCGCTCAGAACCACACACAGCTGTCTTGATCCAGATCTGTCCTCCCACAGAAACACGGACACACTCTCCATTGGTGCTCCGGATTCATGCGGAGTGTGGAGCTGCCTCGCCGGGTGCCAATCAGAAAGAGGGAGAGGGGGGGGGGGGGGGGGGGAGAGGGAGAGACGCATGGGATGCTGATGACTGATCCTCACTGAGAGGATGCTATCGATCAGGCTTGCAGACGCTCTTCCTCCCACTGTGATAAATATGCTGATTTGCGCAATTGGATTTGCTTCTGCTCCTCATTGGCTAATTGAATAAGGTAGGTGGTACCAAATCCCTGAAGTTTCACCAGTTGCTCCAATCTTGTTCAAGTGCATGCAGTGATTTGATTATTGTTCATTCGCAGGTAATGTGAGCGCACACTGCATGGGAAAGCCGAGTGATCAATGCAGAACCCCTCAGCGCTGTTCGGGATGGTGAGCCACTGTCAGACCCAAACTTTCTCAGACTTTCCCGGCCTTTCGCTCTCCGTGTACGGCAGCAAGGCGGACCTGTGTTCGTGGAGAGCCGGTAACGGTGGTTTCGGATCGCAGATTTGCCGGAGCCCAAATGAAACCCCGACGCACATGAACTGCGCCAGCCCGAAGAGATTCAGCGCGTCCGAAGAAAAGGCGCATCTGGCGGCCAAAGCTCCGCGATCGTGCCTGTCTTTCCCCCCTGTGCAAGGTAAGCCCCTTAAGTCCCCGTTTTATTGATGTTTTGACGTGTTTAAAAGTTGATTTAATCGAGTCACATTTAATGGAATTATTTTTGACCCCATTCAGACAAACTGTGAGGATAACAATAACATTTTCGGTCGGTTTGCCAATTTGACCAATTATTTCAAGGTTTATTTGAGATAAAGTCCAACAATAATGTTGCTTTCACATGGCTCCTCGAGAGCATCCTTTGAAGCAGCTGTGTATTTGTGTTGAGAGCCCTGTTTGTGGATTAGGTCTGTTAATTAAACCCAGATCTCACTTGGATCATCGGCCAAATCATAAATAACACCAGAATCAAAGTCAATGCTGCACACGAAGGCCATGTGAGGGATGTACAGTGTGAGGAAAAACTGCCAAGTAAGTGTGCGTTTCCCAAGGATGTTCACAAGGCATGGCAGCGTTTTCGTGGGAGGATTAGTGTGATGTTGGCTCATTTAGGTAAATATGGAGAGCTTAAAACAACATTTTCAATAATAATTAATTGAAAAATCACATTTTCTTTCAAATTTAGAATAATATTAATCATGGAGATCTCTTTATGCTCAAATGGCTCCTATTTAAACAATTGCCTTACACAAGTAGAATAAACTTTGACTTTGGCTCATCAGCGAAAATCATAATTTCAAAACAATTACACAGATGAAATGAGCACATGTCATGCAGTGGAAACTGGGCTGAGTCCCTGCTGCTCCATCCTGTTTAGACAGAGTGTTGTTGTGAGAGGGAGGGCGGAGGTAATTACAGCCCCGTCCTAAATTATGATTAGACGGAACAGACTTTTATATTAGCAATCATCCTCGCAGCAAGAAGAGGATCAACGGATTTGATTATTGTTTCTCCCCGCTAAACACAAACCATATGTCTGCTGGATGCGTCTCAGCAGTTATGAGATCTGTTGGAGCTCGATTCAGCCCTCCATCCGCAGCATCCCGGCCAGAATGAATCGTGTCATTGTGTTTGCAACGCTTTTGAACTCACTTCCCGTAAATTGTGGGAACACGAGAGTATGTTATGCGTTTGTGCATTATGTTGAGCAGATTGACATTGCGGCAAACACATATCTGTCTGTTTGGTTATGAGTCTGTGAGGCAGCTGAGTGATAGTTCTTACATTTCTTGTGGGTTTATGAATTAAAATAGTTTTCCGCCTCCTTTAGGAGTGCGAGAAAATAACCCAACATCTCCTTCCTCACACACATACTGATCCAATTACAAATTAAAACATATTGCACACATATGATTTTCTTATTCAGTTTAACTTGTACTCCTACCTCTATCCTGTATGAATATGAGCTGTATTCCAGGCATTTGCTGTTGTTTTATAGTCTCTCATGGTGAGAGTGCAGTATGAAAATGATCTCAGTACTCATCAGTCTTTTGTATCATGCCTCATTTCAGGCTGATCGTATTACACACTCCCATTTGGGGACAGAGCTGGGGTTTAAACTGCATTCTCCACCATTACTTTAGATTTATACTGAAAGGAATCTTTGCACAAACACGCAGTGTAATATTAATCCTGGTGGGAGTGAGACACCGGAGGAAGAACTTACCTCAGACGGGAGATTTTACTGTGTACCCTGCGATTGCAAAATGTGAAAAAGTTACTCATAAGAAGAATAAAAGTGATTCAATATTTTCTGGTAGACGAGGTGCAGTTTACGATGGTGCACTATGAGACCCTCATTCAGATTTCCTCGATTTATTTTCAATGTACTCTCACAAATGCAAATCTAAGGTGTTTTGTCTAATATATATAATGTCAGTTTTTCTGCATCTGTGTTTTTATACATGTAAAATTGAGTGAAAAATTGAAAGTGAGTAAGAGTCAGTTACAGAGCTGAACTTTCCACAGGCTTGAATTTTTTTTTTTACACGCCAGGTATCCTAAAATATATAAATAAATAACTCAATATTTAGTAAAAACACTTGCTTTAACTGTTCAACCTCACCATTGCTTTGCTATTGCAGCTATCCCTAGCATACATCCAATTAATTGTAATTTTCTTTACATTATGTTGAATAAATACAAATCAAAGTGGCATACATGACATCTGGTGTGTAGGTGTTTGAAACCGTGTGTATTAATCTTCATGAGCGTCTGATCATCCTTACACTGCGAGTGCACTGTGCTATAAATATTAGTGCCCACCAGCAAAGAAAATATTTAGCCTGCAAAGAAAAACACTTGACCCCTCTTGAAAAAGAATATCAGGTTTGAAAGGAGTGTGTACTCTAGCATCATTCGATACCTGTCTGAAGTTCCTCCTGTCCCGGGACGAAGCTGTGTGAAGTGTGTATGTGTGTGTGTGTGTGTGTGTGTGAGCTTATGTTAGGAAAATGTTTGAGTGCTCTGCAGTCCCAAACTCCCTCTCCGATAAATGCAGAGGTCTGTTGATTCAGCGAGTAAAGAGATGAGTAATGTATATTTGGATTTAATCATTGTTGGAACTACATTGCTATGGCTGTTTCTTGTCTTATGCACACATCATCGTGAAATGTTTTCTATAAAACCATACATACAAATATTTATACATGCAGTACACACACCTGTATGCAAGCACAGCAGCATCCATTGCTAACACACACTGTGCCAGCATATGCAAAACACATGCACTAAACATACATGCCACACATTGACACACACTTTTTTGTGGTGAAGTGGCATTGGCACCCATTTTGAATTTCCTCCAAATGACTTGGTTTCCTATGTTTTCCCCAGAAGCTTTTGTGGACGTCATACTGCGGGGCGATAATCTGACTGTTATGAGAAACAACCGACCATTACTGCGCCTCCTTTGAGCCTCCGCTGTGTCAAACGCTTAATGACAGCTTAGCAGTAGCTTGTGAATACTTTTGGTTGTGTGTGAGAAACACATTAAGAGCTTATGGTGAAGTCACTTATTCTAATCAAACAATGTGGTTTATTATTATTCTTTATGGAGAGGGGAACGGGCAGCTGGCATTAATTTACTCAGTTTTTTAACTTAACTTTAAAAGCAAAATGTTCTCTTTTTTTATACACTCTGATAATGGATAATACAAATGTTGCTCAAATATACTAATTAATGATTATCAAAGTACCCATAAATATGGCGTTCAGTCTTACCCATAACTGGTATTCACATTTAAAAATGTGGGTCGTTGTTTAGTGCTTTTCTTCTGGGTAAATCTTCAGATTTTAGTCCCATAAAGAAATGTTTTTACAGCTATGATTCTGGGAAAATGTTTGCTTCAGCAGTTTCAAGGGGTTTTGGATTTCCTAAATTACCGTGGACTTCAGGCTTATAATTGCTTTAAGTCTGGCTGTGAAGCACGCTCATATTGTTTATTCATCCTGGATCGCAGTATTTTCCATTGGTTTTGACTTGTTAGCCAGTTGTGACAGTGTTTAACCCATTTTGCTGAATCGGTAGTCTTTGTCAAGGACTCAAGGGTCTGTTAAGTTGTGGTTTCACAGTAGCGGTGCTTTGTTAATGTGTTGTTTTAATGCTGAAAATACAAAAGAAATGGCACTATTGATCCTGCGTCTTTGATGGGGAATGATTCAGCCAATGATGTAGGTGGGAAGTCTGACCACAATTTAAATTATAGGGGCGTCATATTGAATTTTGTTATGATCTTGAATCCATTTCTGTTTGACCTTCCTTTTGGAGCACTATAAAAGTAATATTCCCATGCTGTGTCTATTCAAATAATTCACTATGGTGTCATAGTGTGGTTTGGCAATCTGTATTTTTCAAGTCCAATTTGTTAAAAAGGTGAAACCCAAGCATTTTGCTTCCAACATCTTACAAATAAGTATTTGGCTGAACATCAACATGTCCTCCTATGTGAACATGAACGTCTGATATTAAAAGGACGGTATCGGCTCACATTGCAATACTTTAATATGAGTATAACAGTAAAAAGGATGTTGATCTTAATCCTGAGATATTAAATGGGCTTAGAGTTGCACATAGATTTCTTTTTAAATACTTGTTCAGAAAATATGTTTGATATTATGTTTCCATGTCTAGATTTAATTGTATGTATTAAAGGTGGGGTAGGTAAGTTTGAGAAACCGGCTCGAGATACACTTTGTTATATTCCATGGAATGCTCTTAACATCCCGATAGCAATGAATATCTTAAGTGCTTTGACAAAAAATCCATTAAAAAATGTAATCTGTGGAAGCCATAGTACTGTAAAAAGTACGACCAATCATTTTAGCCGGCCCGGCTAAAATAACTGGATGGCCTACCTGCCTGTCAGCCTTCCATCTGTGCACAAACTTATCTCGTGCCCTCATTGGTCATGTGCGCGTTCGTGTGTGTTGGAGGAGGGGCTCTGTAAGGAAGTGGCAGATTTTCTCCGGCTGTGTATTTTCAAATTCTAGCGATCTCGAGCCGGTTTCTCAAATTTACCTACCCCACCTTTAAGTAAAGCTGTAAAATGCACTAATCTGTGGCTAATTGGTGAATACCAGTACCACATCTCTACGTTTCCCTTAAAACATTTGATATTTTTTTTTACTCTAGTAAAAGCCGAAAATATACTATGGCTGATATTCAAATCCTTCGGTAAACAATATATAAAAATGCTGGTTTTGCACCTCAAAATTTGGATTGCAACAATATATTAATAGTTGCTTATCTCAAGTCAAGCATTTTTTCCATGACACCAAATCACTTCCACTTCTCCTGAACTCCTCTCTGGAAAAGGGAATAATTCAAGCACCAAGTATATATTTATTGAGTACAGCTAAAGTCTAACAGAGATACAGAGTAAGTGAGGATCTCCACATCACTGGCGGTCAGTTTGCTAAAAGGTTAAAGCAGCTATTCCTCCCAGGTGTTGTAAAAGACGGATCAAACCTCAGAGGAAACATTTTGCTGTCACTGCTGCTAAAAGAGATTTGACCTGTTGTTGAACTGGTGGTTCACTTAGCTTCACAGCCGAGGTTAACTGAGATTTTTCTTCTTCA